GGTTGACCTTTTCATGGTAAGCCCAACAGCCATGACTATCGTTAAGTTCACTTTAATGAAATTGAACTGGGTGGGCATCGATGGAAGAACCGGAGACATATTCGTTAGAAACCTGAGAAAGATGAGGTTGCATTGAAGGATGAAGTAGGGCTGGTAATAAAAACTATATGAGAATAATCAGCCCATAAGTTTAGCAGTGGAGAAGGTGATGCAGTGGCAAGGGGCGCGTTATCACACACGCATGGCCACGAGTTCGAATCACGGATCGATATCTGCTTGGATCGAACAAGCACTCTATTCCTCCGAGGTCGGTTGAATTGTAGAGACTTGTATGGGAGGATAAAAGCACTGACTTGTACATCGGCTGGCTACCGCAAGTCATGGTATAGGCCACATACGCAGTTATAACGCCACTACGATTCTGAATGGAAGTCGAACACGGGGCGCATCCAAAAAAAGGACTGATTAACACGATTGAGTTCATTTTTTACCCCTTATGTTGACCAACATGACTGGGTAAAAGGATTAAGCAAAGCCTCGTGTCCTCGATAGGATGCATTAAATGACCAGTAAACCTACAAAAAATCTTCGCTCTGCTAAGTAATGGTCCTAGTCAAGTTCTGGACAATTCAGGCCATGTAGAGATCACTTCACAGAGGGAATCCATCAGAATACTGTATGGCAGCATGTCATAAGAAGATTTATTAAAAATAATCCCTCCTTGAAACCCAGCCTTGGGTGTATTTACCACCGACGTTCCTATAGGCATCAACAGAGGACCGAATACCGAAAAGGCGAAGTCCTTCTGCAACATTCCAACAAGTCAGAACTGAAGGCAGACCGTGCTCACCCATCAATAATCGTGTCAGCCACTATTTGGTGACCACAAATCAAAAGCTGCTTTATTTTTTTTTTAGACACTACGATATTTGGACGATGTTTGATCGCTTGCTTTACATGGCTGGACGTTGCCAATGTGGGGGTTTTTCTTCAAACGGATTATTATTGATGAGGCGGCGAATGTGGAACGTAATGACTGATTGGATTTGGATAGGCTCTTTTTTTTTCTAGAGCTGTGAACTGTATCTGATAATGATCAATTTATCAAATTCAAAATAAATACTCACAATGTCAAAGGTCTTGCGCTCCCGATAGATCATCGGTAGGCCTCAAACTCCGAATCTTCTCGAAATAATTGCGTATCCTGAAAACACTTCGTTAGTGTTTGCCCTGACAGTCACTGAAAGAGAGGAAACATCAAGAAAAACATTAAATTTGGCTTTCCAGTAATAAATACGTTAGCAAACAAAGTGATCATCGCTAAGAAAGTAACTTGATCGGTGCGCTGCTTGACATAAGTATAAACTAAACATTAGTATAAACAAATGCACCGCAGGCGAACTATTGATTGCCTTGTTCACTGCCAAGTGTGTAGAGCGCAGACAGTGAGAGATGGATCGGGGATGAAGTGACGACTGCAGGACTTTCCCAGTTGGAGCCCAAAGGAATCATGGTAATGTTTATAAGTTTCCGAAAAAAATAACTGTCTATGGGTATGGGAAACATCCACTTTCGACGTTTTTACAGCTTTTCAGATTTAAGTTCAAGTTATCGGCCGAGTTGGCGCTACTGAGTAGTGATCCGATTGAGACTATTTAAAACATTACAATTCCATTTTTACCCACATGGTCGCTTAGAAATCAATGCGCGTACGCACACTTTGGGTAATGAGCGTTGGACTTGAGGGAAGGTCCCGAGCTAGTGATCATCTCTAAAGATTAATACTGCGCAGGTGTAGTTCAACGTTCTTGGTCTCGACCTCGTGATTGTAGTGCAACAAATACCATTCCAGAAAAGAAGGACTTGCCTTTTAATGCGAGCCACAGTGTAGATATGCGAGCGGCTGCGTTGCGTCTGGAGCCATGTGGTTGCTATGACTGTCATGGAAGTAATTAGAGCACCACTAAATTTCACATTTCACTTTGGAATAAGCATCAGATTCGCATCAGAGCATCAGATTTGAACCTTTCCATTTACAGTAATCAAATGATGTTATAAGACTTTTTAAAACCTGCTGCCAAGATGTTAAATAAGTTGTTATATCAAGTGAGAAATACAAGAACAAAAGAAATAACAGTAGAATCATAATCGCATAGCGATTGAGCTGTATGAAGAACGCCATAATTGTTATGACGAGGCAAATGGTCCGCAACAGCCGCGTGCGGCGAATCGGCTACACAATACTGTTC